ATGATTTGTGGAAGCGACATGGAAACGGAAGGATGCAAAACAGATGAACTGACGCCAAATGAGAACGTAACAGAGGCCGTCGTCGTCACAGAGGACGTAGAGACTGACGCCGTCGACGATGTCGTTGTATGTGGCGCTGCTGCAGTGGTGTTGGCGGAAGAGGACGCCATGTGTGCGGAAAAAAATATCAAAAACACTAATCTCTTGATACCATGTGAGAATAATAAACAGGCTTAACGAGTCTGGTAGTTCTGACTGTATATTTATAATGAATAAGTTGTCTAATACAATTAGGATACTAGCTAATAATTAATAACAATTAATTCTTCACTATTAGCCCCACCGCTGCCCCACATCCCCAATCCTCGCGCCATCATGATTTCCTTTCCCTTGTCCTCGGCTTCTCAGTCCCAACACAACCACTGCCCCACCACTGCCCCTTCCTCCCAAGTCCCAACCTGCCGCTCCCACTCCACAACTCTAGCCGCAACGTCGTATCCCCTAGTGACCCGTCAGCACCCTGATTCCCACCCTACCACACTTCTTCACTCCCTAAGAAGCCACCACCATTCTCCCTCACTCCCCAATGACCCCCACCCCAAGGCTTAATATTCATCGCCGGTGGCTGGAGTACGTCATTGCCTCCCGCATTTGAGTACGTCGCCATCGCTGATTTAACCCTAGCCGCCACATAGAAGACAGTTGAGATGTTGATCGATGAAATGACGATGAAGATTAAGATGTGAGTGCCAGTGATAAATATATACTCCATCTACCTCTAAAAATACTTTCAACTTTCCTCTTTGGGCATCCCAAAATAAATTTTCAATTTCTTTTTTTGGTAATGAATTTGTGATTCACAATCATTCTTACACATTTTTTTCTCTCTCCTCTGCACAACTCTCCATCACACAATACCCACTATTTTGATCCTCATGCCATTTGTACAATTTCTAAACTGTGAACTGAACCGTAAGGACAATGCTGACGGTCACGTTTGCACCTAACGATTTTCGTGGGTTTTAAAAAGGAAGACCAAACCCACATGTATAAGGTTTTCTTTAATTTGATGATGCTTAAAATCTGTAGCCGATTTGAACACATAATACTCCCTTCGTCCCTAAAAGGATTGTCAAGTTTGACTGACACGTAGAATAATAAAGTAAAAACTGTGTGGTAGAGATTTGTGCAGAGGAGAGAGAAATAACATGAATCACAAATTGATTGATTAAAAGAGAAAGTGGCAAAATTTTTGGGACAACCAAAAAGGGAAAGTTGGCAAAGTTATAAGGGACGGAAGGAGTAATTTTTTTTGACTTTACGGGAGATGGCGGAGACATAAATTTGTATGTGTCGAGTGTTGACCACAATCCAAACCCACTACAGCCACTTCTTTGTTAATTGCGTCACTCAAAATTTGAGCGGCCCCCAGTTGCCATTATCCTCTATTTTGACTATTTGTCTCTAGAAAAGCTTAAATTATCTTTGTCAGCCTTTAAAGAGTGAGTTTTAAGCAGTGTTTGCTATTGTTTTAAATAAATGCTTCTAAGCTTTTAGATTAAAAAAACTAGAAAAGGTGTTTGCTAACAACAACTTCGTACTAAGTCACAATCTAGAAGTTGGGATATACTAGCTTCTGAGAAGTGGTGGAGCCAGAAAAACGGTTCAGGGGTTGAATCTCAACCTATATACAGAATGAAAATGATGGATCGTTTTTAAACAATGTTCGAGTTGAATATTTCATATGTAGTTTAGATAAATAGGCACTTGTGGTAATAAGATATATTGTTTTTACTCTGTTCCTGAGTCGTGTCGCGTAAGTATTGAGTGAATTTATACCCTTATGTTTAGAATTTGGGAAAATAATCTATAGTATGCATCAAACTTTGCTGATTTTACGTTAGAAAGTTCTGATTTTGCATAAGTCATAACTTTTTACTTGTAAGTCATAATGAGTTACGAGGGACATAATATATCAAATCGATAATATTTCAGAACTCTATACTCTCAAACTTTCAGCGGAGTCGGCTGACCACCCTGACCCCCTGGCTCTGCCCTGCTTTTAAGTGCTTCTAGGTATTGTTGTAAATAACTCAAACTTACCGGTGGGCGTAGCTCAACTGATAGGAAGGGAGTGCCACAATGGTTAGGTCCTGGGTTCGAATCTCGGCAACTGCGATGAGGGGTTACTATGCTAAAAAATGCATAGGGGCTCTGCAAGTACCGGGGACAGAGTCTCACTCTCTATCTCGGCAACTGCCATCCTTTTTTTTTAATAAATAACTCAAACTTTTTGGATAATTATAATGGCAACAAAATCCATCCCAACCCCAAAATACCTTGAAGAATTGCAACCGTACTTCGTCATTCCAGGTCTCTGTCCTTCGTTCCTTCTCCTTCTTGACCTCATCTTCCGCATCGCGGGTCTCGTCTTCAGCATCACATGTATCTTCTTGACCTCATCTTCAGCGACCCAATAACGATCAAATGATCCGGCATTGAATCTCCATCCAAGCTTCACTGGATTGGGATCTACTCGCCACCTGACTCAACACACAAGAACCTCATATCTTGCTGCGTGTTTATACGTTTGGAGCGTTTCAAACTATAAAGGGATGATTGCCTAATTACTCAAATACATTGTATTTACACTAAAAGGCTAAACAACCTATTGCGCTTCTAAAAGACGGCTCTGGGATTAAGCATTTGGATTTCTGATATTTTGGTTTCATTTAGCATTTGGACACCCCAATTCGGCATGTTAGGAAATTGAAACTTTCTTATACAAAGCTTTTAACCATTACTCCTTTTACTCTTTATCTTTTTTATCAACTTCCTCACAAATCACAAACAGTTGATATGATCATATTTTGGATGTCTTTACTTGGACGTTAATATGCTGGTCCGGTCTGATCTGGTCTATTTGAGTCTGATCTGGTATGGTTTGAACTGGTCTGGTCTGGTAAATTGTATTTTAAACTACGAAAGTCAAGTCTGATCAGATTTGATCTATTTAAGTCTGATCTGGTTTGGACTGAATACCGTCCAAGTAAAAACATGGTTAGATGAGAAACATTCAAGTAATACCGAACAAATATTGCATGTTTTATTTCTATTGGTGGGACAATGTAGTATCATAATGCTCATGCCAACACTCAATGTTGTAACAAAAATGCAAAGTTACCTGGGCATAACTTGTGTAATACTCACTCCATTAATTGTACTTTTTTTGTACTTCATACTTTGCGATCCTTATTTATTAAATTCATCTACTGCTTTTTTTGTCATTAAAAAAATCAAACATGTGCAGATTGTTCAAAACTTTGATCCGAAAATAATTTTGAACATCCAAAACCCCTAAATGTTATATCTAACGTTTGTCATTCTCCTATGAATCCTATGTTATAGAAGTATGTGCACGAAAATCATACGTAGTATGGGTTTTTATTTTTCAAGCATACTTCACCTCTGTTTGTTGGTTTCCTCAAAGCAAAATAGAAGGTATGATGCAAAAAATATCTTCTTAAATCTATATGTTGTTGATTGCATACATTGCAAAAAGAAGTGTGATTAACAAATCTCTTACTAAATTAAATTAAAATTCTAGGTACATGGTGTAAATTCTAAAGTTAAGATTTGCTTCTTATTTTTTACTGTAAATTAAAAAGGATCGTTGTTGATAAAAAGTGTTAAAATGTCCTTGGATATTTATCTGAAATGTTTGATGCATGTTTTAACATTTTAAACATTGTTTAGTATTCAAAATTCTAATATAGATTGAGATACGACTAACAGGTCTAAAATTTTAATGCAGTGTTCCAAATGGCTCGAAAAAGCACCGCCTAAAAGGTGAGTGCAATTGTGCAAACATTGACTTTCTATAAAACGACTAACATAGCCTTACCCAATCTGATTTGTAATAGTTGGACTCTTACGACAGATCCCATTATCCTTTTCCAATTATCCATGTAGGAACTATTAATTCAATGCACGAAAACAAAAACAAAATGGGTAATGAAATGTTTGAGTAGTGACGAATTTGGAATTTACAACAAGAAATTTAAATAGTAATAAATAATTGTACTAAATTTACACATATATGCTTACATGTTTTTCAAAGATTTGAGTGCTTATGTGAACACCTTGTAACAAGAGTAGCTCCACGGCTCCACCAATGGGCTCGAGAGAGATTTTAAATGGGATTATATTTTTCTTTCTACTCAGATTTTCTGATGTGATATAATATGGCTTGATCTAATGATTTGATTTGGTCTTGTTGATTCAAGTCAAGTCAGATATGTTTTGAGGTGGGCTCATAAATGCATGTTTTATGTGTAGTTTATTTGGTCTGAAGATATTATTTTGGGAGTGAGAAGGTGCATCACCAAAGTTATGCTTCATTTTAGATCGATGACATCAAGCCTAGCTATCATGGAATGAAATCCATGAATTTATAACTTTGGTACTTTACAGCTTAAAACATGGAATGTTCAGTACCAACGTTATAAACAGTGGGTCGACTTTGTTGTAGTCAACTAACAAATGCACCTAGTTAATTCTTTTGAGCTATGGTTGGTGTGGAAGTCAGATATCTTGGTCCGACCAGACTGCCAGCTAGAGGTCGGTGCTCGAGCCCATCAAGTCCTCGATGTGGCCAACCTAGGTGTACAACTCATGACCCATTTTATGTGAGGACTGGTTGGAACCTGGATCTTTAGTGGTTCATTAGACTCTTACATTTTGAACATTTGAAAACGATCCAAGAAAAAATGACCACATATAAGAACGCTTAATGTCATGTGAATGAGCGGATCACACCACATAAACATGAATGAAAAACATCAATAATCAATCAGACAATCATAAAAATCACTGAAAAATCAAACACCATTAACAGATAAAATAAGAAAATAATAATCATGAATATGTCATGTTTCATAATAATACAAGTAATAACATAGTAATTGACAAAATTGTATGAATACCTTTAATGGAAGCTACAGCAATGTGCAAGATTTCTTATGCACCGTCCGGGATTGCATATTTCCATCCATCAAGAGATTTCATTTTAGACCTTCACTAGCTCACCCTAAATTTTAAAAATGTCTATAGTTTTTGAGTAAATTTTTTTCCAACAATATTCTTTGTACTGGTCCAGTCTGCTCCAGTGCCCTAGCTCCGCCCCTATGTCCCATGGTTTTATGAAAATCTAACCGTACCACACAATGACAAAAAGGAATAACTACAGGATTTATTGTATCCACCAAACCACAATGGGCAGTAATAAAAACAACAGAATGAATAGTAATTAAAGTTACAAGCGTTATTATAAGTTTAGCTTGTTACATAGATGTCTTGGCTGCGAGGTGAGTTAATACATATTTGTGGTATGTGTGCCGCAGTTTCTTGTACTTCTGCACAAATGTAGTAAGATCAATTTCTCGATCAAGAAGCTGTTTATGTAGGGCTTCAATTCATCATCTGTTTTATTAGTTGCCTCTGGCATGAATAGCAAAAAACTAAGGTTAATACTCTTCCGAATCCAAGACATGATAGATTTCCAAGTGCATATATACACTTTGTACCCTCAAACAAGTATACTCCTACATCTTAGTAGCAACCTTTGATCTATTCATTTAAAAGAAAATTACAATTGATCTACCCAGGATGGCATGCATAAATCAAGCCTCATGTTGTTCACATTGATCCTATAAAAACAACATTTTGTTTTGGAAAATAGACATTTTTAGTGTAGAAACTTTATTAACTTATCGTCGTGACTTTTGTTAGGTCCAGGGGGATGCTCCCTCGTCCCAAAACTTTGGTGTGCATGGATTTATAATCTTTGAAAATACGTTGATATATGAACCGTAGTGATGGAGTATATGGTCCAGGGACCCCCGACCCACATACTTCCACAACTGCAATCAGACCCAACGGACCTAAAACGGGCCAAGTCCAGCAAAATGAAGCTCTAAACAGCCCACAGTAAGCAAGGGGTGTCGGCCCAAAAAACTCACAAGACAGCTAATCTTACACCTATCATAGTATTTTCCATAAAAGTGGTGAACACTGAACGTCGTGGTGGGTGCTGGTTTTGAATTTCCTCTCATTATTCACATGGAAGGTTGCAATAAGAAAGGCAATTGTTAGGATCTTATCCGTCTCCGGCTCAAGTCGATTTCACTATAATCACATACACCACACTAGGAGGAGGCTATAGCATCCACTCTCAACTCTCCACTAAGACCTTTCTACTCTCAGGAATTATTTTCGCAGGCTACTTACACAGGAAGAGGCAAAGACCTCTAAATAATAGCAACGGCCAGAAGGAAGTCACGGGTGAGAGCCAAGACAAAAAGGCTCACAGGCTGGCAGGCAATGAGTGCAGCGGACAGGAGGCAGAGAAGGGGCCGGCCAAGAGATTAAGTCAACCACTCAAAATAGGTATATATTTGATCAGGATATATACCAAAGAAAAGGTATCAAAGTGGGAGTAAAACAATAGGGTGCAAGCCTCAGCAAATAAAGTGGAAGGGAGGCCTTGGTAGGACCAATACCTCCAACATTCTCCACCTTATTGGTCCTAGGTGGTGTAGAGAAATAATATAAGGTTGTGACAAGACTCATCATCGCCGGGTCACCCGGAATATCAACAGATAAAACGGGCAAACACTTTATTACGCAACCCACAGTTATCCACAGTCAAAGTTTAACACGCGTTTACAGGACAAGTGCTTCTCAGCAGAAAGACACTTGGTACCCATATCCGCAGGGTTAAACTCTGACGGGATCTTGCACAGCTTGACTCCACCTGCATCAACAATATCACGTATGAAATGGAACCTAACATCAATATGCTTAGTTCTATCATGAAATACAGGATTTTTGCAAAGTTGGATAGCCGATTGGCTATCCGAGAAAATGGTAACTCCCTTTTTGAGAAACCCAATTTCGGAGACAAGGCGTTTGAGCCAGATGGCTTCCTTAAACGCTTCTGTGGCTGCAACATACTCGGACTCAGTGGTAGAAAGGGCCACAATAGGCTGTAGTTGAGACTTCCAACTAATGCAAGAGCCACACAAAGTGAAAACATAAGAAGTGGTCGACTTCCTGTTATCTCTATCATTTGCATAGTTAGAATCAACATAACCAATCAGTTCAATACCACTAGCACATTTAGAGAAAATTAATCCATGCTTCACAGTAGAAATCAGATATCTAAGCAACCACTTAAGAGCATTCCAATGGGGCAAACCAGGGTTGGACATATATCTACTCAAGCAACTAACCGCATATGCAATATCAGGTCTAGTGCTAACCATGAGATACATCACCAACCCTATTGCACTGGAATAAGGCACAGATTTCATTTTCTCAATTTCAGGAGTAGTCTTGGGAGACTGGTCCTTACTTAACACAAAGTGAGATGCCAAAGGGACATTAACAGGAGAAGCAGATAACATATTGAATTTACTCAAAACTTTTTCTATGTAAGAAATCTGATTCAAAGTAAGAGTACGCTTACTCCTATCCCTAACAATGTTTATGCCTAAGATCCTCTTGGCATCACCTAGGTCTTTCGTGGTAAAATTCGCACAAAGACATTTTTGCACATCTTTAATAGCATTCAAGAAGGACTAATTATCAGCATGTCATCCACATAGAGTAACAAAAATACAGGCACAGAGGAAGTATTCTTGAAATACAGGCAATGATCACAAACAGATTTTTGGAACTTCAAAGATATCATGCATTTATCAAATTTGATGTTCCACTGCCTAGGGGATTGCTTCAGGCCATACAATGCCTTCCTAAGCAAACAAACATGCTCACTTCTCTTGGGATCCACAAAGCCCTCAGGCTGGGTCATATAAATTGTTTTGTCCAATTCACCATGCAAAAAAGCAGTAGTTACATCCATTTGTTTCATTTCCCAGTCATGGTGAGCAACTAAAGCAAGCATCATACGAATAGTGGTGAATTTAACAACAGGAGCAAAGATTTATGCATAATCTACCCCCTCTTTTTGAGTAAACCCCTTCGCAACCAACCTAGCCTTAAACCTAACATCACTAGGTTCTTCCTTAACCTTAAACAACCACTTACACTCAACTACCGAACAGTTGGGGGGTCTAGGTACAAGGGTCCAAGTCTGGTTCACTCTCAAAGAGTCCATCTCACTTTTCATGGCACTAATCCATTTCTGAGACTCTTTGGAACCTAAGGCTTCACGGTAGGTCTTGGGTTCATTCAGCTCTAGGGATTCAAACACAGAAAAAGCAAACATAGAAGTATCATGCACAATGAAAGCATAATCAGGCATACTATCAACAGTTCTCCTAATAGCCCTTTTACCCCTATCTCTAGCAAGTTGATAATCATGAAAATTATCACTACTAGGCTCCACATGCAACTCATGCAAATTATTGTTGTCATGAAAATCAGATTCAGCACCCATGTCATGCAAATCATGCTCAGTATCATGCAAATGCTCCACCTCACTCGAGGTGGTGGGACTATCATGCTCAGAGGAATCAGAATCATGCATAACAATATCATCAGTAATAACAGGATCAACAGGTAAAGGACTAGCAGCAACAGGGACAAACTCCACCTCACTAGGAGTACTATCAGACCTAGACTCAGGATTAGAAACAGACTCGGTCAAGCAAGGAAAATCAGTTTCATTAAACACCACATTTCTGCTAAGGACCACCTTAAAGCCTACCTGGTTCCTATCCCATAACCTGTAACCCTTTACCCCCTCTGGATAACCTAGGAAGACACATTTCTTAGACCTGGGATCCAACTTGTCACCCTGTTGATGTGCATACGCTGCACAACCAAACACCCGGAGGTTAGACAGATCAAGAGGCTTACCGGTAAAGACGGCTTCAGGACATTTACCACCAAGTGGGACAGACGGGGACCTATTAACCAAATAGGCAGCAGTAGTAACTGCTTCACCCCAGAATTTCTTAGACAAACCAGAGGTAGCTAACATGCTTCTAACCTTATCCAACAGAGACCTATTCATTCTCTCTGCTATCCCATTCTGTTGGGGAGTATAAGGCACAGTTTTGTGCCTTTTTATCCCACAATCCACACACAGCTTATCCATCTCCTTATTACAGAACTCTAACCCGTTATCGGTCCTAAGGGTTTTAACCTTCCTGGCAGTTTGGTTTTCAACTAGGGTTTTCCACTCCCTAAACTTCACAAACACATCAGACTTGTGTTCTAAAAGGCTAACCCACACCTTCCTAGAGAAATCATCAATAATAGAAAGGAAATATTTCCTACCCCCGTGGGTAGGAACACTGGCAGGACCCCAAACATCGGCATGAACATATTCAAGCACAGACGAACACTTAGATAGATTAAGGTAAGAGGAAGGAGGGAAGTTGACTCTATGCTGCTTGCCTAACACACATGATTCACAGAAAGGCACAGAAGTCACAGAGTCCTTACCAAAATAACCAGCCCTACGCATGACATCTAAACCCTTATTGCTCATATGTCCTAGCCTATTATGCCACAAAGAGGTCTTATCAGAACATACAACATTCACAGACTCAGTAAAAGGTTTAGCATGACACACATAAAGGTTATTCACCTTCTCAGCTTTAAACAACACAAGAGAATTTTTCAAGATTTTCATGCAACCATTCCCCCATTTCCCCTGTAAACCACTACTCTCCAAAGCAGCAACAGATAACAAGTTATGACACAAATCAAGGACATGCCTCACATTCTTAATGGTAAACACATAGCCACAAGAAAACTTTAGACATATATCACCCACACCAAGCACATTGCATCTCTTATTATCAACTAAGGAAACATAGCCACTATCACATAATTCATATGTAGAAAACAAATCTCTAAAGGGGGACATGTGATAGGTACAACCAGAGTCAATCAACCATTCATGCTCAGACAGGGAATTACGCACAGAATTAACATGGTCACAAACCATCAAAATATCACCAAGGTCACATTTATCAACAGCTACACTAGCATGCTCGGTCTTCTTAGGTTTAGGGCAATCCTTAATGAAATGGTCAGCGTTACCACAATTGTAACACACTCTCTTCCTAGATTTGCTCCTCTTTCTCCCAGGCTGACTAGTGTTCTTACTTTGACTATTTTGCTTAGAGTTCTTAGACCTACCCTTAGATCTACCTCTAACAAACATAGCCTCACCGGAGTCCCTGGACTGACTAGCACTACCCCTAGCATGCTTCAGGTCTAATTCCTTACTCATTAACCCATTAACAACAATATCTAACGAAATCTCATCCCTACCATACTTAATAGCGGACTTAACATCATTATAAGAGTCGGGAATGGCATTAAGTAATACAATGGGAGTATAATCGTCTATGTGTTTATCACCTGCCTGTTTGATATTCTGTATCAGTTTATTAAACACATCCAGGTTCTCATCTATATCCTTGGTCAGGTCAAGCCTAAACCTAAAGAATTTCTCAAGTAAAAACAACTTCCCGGGCAAAGAGGTATCAGTATAGAGACTATCCAATTTCTCCCACAATTCCTTAGCGGACTCAAGAATACCCACTTTCCTAAGCACAGAATCAGACAGATTCAAGTAAATAGTGGAACAAGCAGTTTCGTTCATTTCAATTTGCTTAGCCTTATCTTCTGATTCAAGGAAAATACCAGTGACAGCTCTAAAAACTTTTTGTTGTATTAACACACACTTAATTTTCTGTTTCCAAATATCAAAATCTGTTTTTCCATTAAATGGAAGCATACCATACTGATTAGCAGCCATGGTATCAACCACAAAACAACACAAAGCTAAACAGACAAAATTGACAGGAACTAATCCAACCCGGGCTATAAAGTATACACTTTAATAACCCCGGGCAGCATGCAACAAATAGCAAATATGGACAGTTTGGCACATAAAACAACTCCGGGCAGCAGTTAACATTAATTAATTCTACCCCTAATACTCAACAAACTACCCCTACGCATAACAAATGAATTAAGTAACACTTAGCAATTCAATTTAAACAACTAAACAATCTGCCACAAAGGAGAGGGTTTAGCAAACGTACCTGGGGGGTTGGCGGCCGGGATACAATCTACCGGCGGCCCGTGGGGAGGGGGAATAAAATTAAATCCGGAGGCACCCGGTGCACCTAGGGTGTTTATAGCCAATTTACCTTAGCGAAACCCTAGGAGAGGGTTTCGACCTTACCTACCCAATTTTAAAAAAAAATGGGATTTTTCTGACTGTTGACCGGCATTGACCGGCGTTGACCGGCATTGACCGACGGTCCAGCTGCTCCAGCAACTCCAGCAGTCCAGCAGGTCCGTCCAGCGGCCCAACATCACAGGTCCAGTAGCTTGGCAGCCCAAATCCAGCAGGTCAGCAGCCCAGCTCCAAATCAGCAACTCAGTAGCGCTTAGGCCCAAGTCTAGTAGCCCAAGGTCCAGCAATTGAAGCCCAGTAGGCTTCTTCGTCCCTGCTTTCTGCGTCCCGCGAGGAACGAACTCCAGACCTCCTGCGAACCACAAAATTGCCGGCGGTGGCTCCGAAGGGTGAGCGACGGGTCCAGTCACGAGCGACCACCGTCGATAGCTCTCAGGCAACGGCGGATGGCGGCTTCGGTGGCTTCGGTGGCTTCGGCGATTTGCGCAGCAACCGGCTTCCAGTCCGACCCTTCTGAGTTCAGTTCTTCAGGTCCAAGCTTACCAGGCGATGGACACCTCCACGGACGGCGAATCGACGGTCACGACTTCCCTAACCTCGAATTGGCGGCGGACGGCGGCGGACGGCGGCGGTGAACGGCGGCAGACGGCGAACCCGTTCTGATACCACTGTTAGGATCTTATCCGTCTCCGGCTCAGGTCGATTTCACTATAATCACATACACCACACTAGGAGGAGGCTATAGCATCCACTCTCAACTCTCCACTAAGACCTTTCTACTCTCACACAAAGGAAGAAGAAGGGAGCTCTGCTCTCAGGAATTATTTTCGCAGGCTACTTACACAGGAAGAGGCAAAGGCCTCTAAATAATAGCAACGGCCAGAAGGAAGTCACGGGTGAGAGCCAAGACAAAAAGGCTCACAGGCTGGCAGGCAATGAGTGCAGCGGACAGGAGGCAGAGAAGGGGCCGGCCAAGAGATTAAGTCAACCACTCAAAATAGGTATATATTTGATCAGGATATATACCAAAGAAAATGTACCAAAGTGGGAGTAAAACAATAGGGTGCAAGCCTCAGCAAATAAAGTGGAAGGGAGGCCTTGGTAGGACCAATACCTCCAACAGCAATCAACCCCAAAGTTTTGGGAGGTGTATTGCTGACGATGATGTTTTACATATGTTGGCAGTACAACTTTTTATCAAACGAAAAACGTTAACAACGGTTTTATTGTTGTTGACTTTATTACAGAGTAAAAAAGTGAAAATGAAGCACAGTAGAAATACTACTTGTATAGGGGATCCGTTTATTACCTTCAAGTCTATGCAAAAGGGATGCAGGGGAGTAGTACTTCAGGAGCTCCTCTTTTCTTCTTTCCAGATCATGTAGCGTTTCTTGAGCAGCAGCTAATTCAGTTGTTCTAATTATCCTGCACTGTTATCCATAAGAGAAAATGTTTTACAATCAAGTAGTATCTTGTTAAATTGCTGTCTACTACTATACTGATTACAAATTTTCAAAAAATAAACAAAACATATACCTGATTTCTAAGCTCCGTGATCCTCGGTTCTTTTTCTAGGTTTCCCCTGTACAATAACAATGTTCAAAGCTTGAAATGTATTTGAGAGAGCATCTTCTATAAGAAACATCAAAACACAAAAACATACCCACTTACTAGCCAGCTGGAGTGTTTCATTACGAAGCTCATCTCTTACCTATTGGGAAGTGAAAAGATATTAAATGAGTGAGGCATCTAAAATTTACATTCACATGAACTATTCCTACAAAGACAACCTGATAAATTACATGAGTTCTTAAAATCCAATATTTGAACTCACATTGTTTTGGGTTTTGACAATCTCAAGTGAAACTAGTAAGTTGTGATAAGCATCCTTGTCAGATAGAAGCTTACGAAGCTCATCAACACAACAACAAATTACAATTTCAATATTAGCACAGAGAAAGAGGAAACCTAAGATGATCAACATGCATTCAATATTCAAGATTTGGAGGGTGTTTTTCCTTTTTAAAACAGTTGGGCCATATTGTAAAGAATCACGAAATAAGAAAGCTCAATTTATCTGTAAATAGATAGAGAACAACTTATTAAAGAAGAACACACAATCTACCACAGCATGTGAATGTGTTCACCAGAAGCTACCTTTTATGTTTTAGAACATCTATGATGGAAGCAGTCTCTGCAGGAGATACATGTGATGAGGAGCTCTGTCTTTCAGACGGCCCTGATAGACTGATGCTTCCGGAAGAACTACCAGAACTGACATCAGATGGAGTTTCCTGCCTATGTGAAGGAGATGGTTGCTCCTGAGAACCCCTGTGTATATAAACATTTTGCAATACCCTTGAAGGAGTATATGGCCCAGGAACCCCCGGCCCATAGACTCCCACTACTATAACAAAGGCCCAATAAGCCCAGTAAGCACAGCAGGCCCAAAACACAGCGCCCCAAGTGCCAAGCAGCCCACGACGTACACTTGGGTGCCTTCGGCCCCATGGCCGAAGGCTCATAAACTTACAGTACAGCTGTTTTTAGGCACTCGAAGTTACTGGGAGAAAACGGCGAAAACAGTAGCCTTTGGCAATTAGAGCCCTCGGCATTTTGCGGCCCTCGATACGCAGAGCCTTCTGACTGTCATCTACAGCCGAAGGCATCCTCCTCGGCAGAATCTTCCAATCACATGCGCTGGATCACCATACCAGGTACAGAATTCGCGTCCAACCACCGCATTTAATGCGGCCACATGCGAGTGCCAGTGCCACCCCGGTTGAGGTGACTCCTCGACCACCAGAATGTTGACACGTGTCCTTATCCAGCATTCATTGCTGCTATAAATAGCACACATTTCCCCTTTTGTAAACCACGCTGAATCCATACTGAATACTCACTCTCTCTCTTACTTATTCGCTCTGACTTCTCTCTAAGTTACTCCCCGCAGTAACCCCTCGGATAAGCTACCCCCCGGGTACACTATCCATCATTTGGTGCTCTCGTTGAGAGGTCGAACAATCAAGTAAGAAACCCTCCCCTTCAGCTAAAAACACCTATCAAAATGAGAAGAAACACCCGAGCCCAATCCAAGACTCACGAGGACAGGAACCTGCCCCTCAGCGAAGTTGACGTCCCCGAAGCCTCTAATAGGGCTCCTGAGGGCGGCGTCATCGCCGGGTTGGACCAGACAGCTGTCGACCTACGCCTTCAGCTCCAACAAAATGCCCCCGATGCCCGCCTTGGCATTGAGGCCAGGAAGAAGGACCGGAGCGAAAACCAAGTGAGCCCTCCGGTCCTTACTATTGACGTGCAATCAGCGTTCTCCGCCTTCATCCAGACACTCACTCAGAACCCGGGTGCCTTCGGCACTCTGGTGCCTCTTCAACCGCAGGTCGGGGAGAACGCCATACCGCTCCCATCACCACTCCCCCTCGCGAAACCCATCCTTCGGATTGGGAACGACGAGGGGATCGTGGCCCAGGACACCGCCTCTCAGGAGGTCCAATCCCGGGACCGCCATGGCACAAACAAAGAAAGACCCCGGACCTCCGCCCTCGAGAGGCTCGGAGGGGCGCAAGACCGCTGAGGGGTCCAAGACCGCCTCGGGGGGAAGGCGTTGATAAGCTACCCCCGAGTACACTATCCATCAATCCTCAAGCACCATATTATCTCAAACAAGCTAAACCTTCCTCTATTTCAACCAATCCCTAATTTCTAGTTCGTTTTGCTTAAGTCAAAGGAAATTCACATGGAATCCCAAAATCACGAGTAACACCGTCCTAGTTTATAGTGACTTCGTGCTCTATACGTCATAAGAACATTAAAAAATCCGAAAAGCAGAAATCCGAAAATCGGAATTGGCTCGAATTCGAAATAGCTTCAATTCATAAATTAATCTCCAAAACTAAATGGAGTTCTGAACCGGAACGAAAAGCTCTAAATGAACAAAATTACCACAACAATTTTAGCACTTCCAAAGATTACCACAAGAGTTTGAACATATCCAAAGACAAGCTTGTGTCAATGGGAATACTCACGAACTAATGAAGTCGTGTTAGTCTTTCCAAATCAAACTTTCGAAGAAAATAACTAACTTCGTAGGTAAGTTGTTTCAAAATAAAAAAGAATACCGCTTAGGATAATTTGACAAGAATAAATCAACCTTTGCCCAATTAATAATCCCACATTTACTTATTCCCGGAATAATCCCACATTTACATCTCATCTTCTTTCTGTATCATGGCTGGTTCATTACCTACTATAACAGGTCTTTTTCATTTTTTTTAAAAAATTTGTATAAATAATTTCATCTTTCACAAATCTGTCTAAAACAGTCTCATGTTTCATTTTTTCTTTTCGCTTCCTAAACTTTTTCTTTCATTATTTTATTCATAGACATTTTTTTATTCATTTTTTCATTTGGGAAGGAAATTTTACAAAAAAAAAACACTCCTAATAGAGTGAGAAATAAAATAATGTACTCCATATTTGGAAAGAAAATTTTACAACAGTCTCATGTTTCATTTTTTCTTTTTTTCTCCCTAAAACTTTTCTTTCTTTATTTTTATCCCTAGACAGTTTTTTATTCCTTTTTCCATCGCTTTGTTCTTTTTTTCATGTTTATTATTTTATTTATCAGTCTATGAGGAGTGTTTTTTTGTAAAAATTCCTTGCCAAATAGATTTTTTGTCATTTTCTTTTTCTTTCTGTATTTTTATTTCATTTCTCTTTTATGTGTTCCTCTTCTTAATCATTTTCTTATTTCTCGGTTTGTGTGTGCCATTCCTCTTCCTAACCATTCTCTATTTGGAAATGAAATCTTTTAGTGTTTTATTAAGAAATACTCCATCCGTCCCTTAAAACTTTGTTACTTTTCCTTTTAATCAATTATTTTGTGGCTTCTGTTATTTCTCTCTCCTCTGCACAAACCTCAACCACACAGTTTTTACTTTATTATTCTCTGTGCCGGTCAACTTTGGCAAAGTTTTAAGGGACAAAGATAGTATAATTTTTTTTAATTATTACTCGTATATATAACGGTTCCTAAACTGTTCCAAGCAGTAGCCGATTTATGATTCAAGTTTTGGGTGTTTATTTTTTTGTTCAATTAAAATTTGAAAGAACAATAAATAATTAAATTAAATTTATACAAGTATACTAATATGCTTTTCAAAATTTTAGGAGTTCAATTGAATACCCTTGAACTATAGTGGCTCCGCCGTTGGTTCCAAGTGCATATTTTTTTTCAGGAACCGAGAACCGAAATGTTAACTAATAAATGTTGAAACAGAACTCAACCGGATCATAACGGTTTGATCCTATTCGGTTCTACGGTTCTTGGTTCCAAAGTCCCGGCTTGGGACAGCCCCTCCCTCAATCTTGATTAGAACTGAAAAAATACATCTCAGTCTCAATTAGAAAATATATCTCAGTCCCAAACAATAGAACTGAAATTCATTATGTGCCATCCGAATACCATGAACCAGGAAAATGGAGGATCAAACCACAAGTTTACAACGAAATAGGAACATACAACTAACTTCTTAGTCCGTACCCACCTATCAAATTAGACAAGTTTTCACGTCCTTGTGAAAATATGCGAGTTAAAGTTAATACCCCCTACGGCCCTACTCATGAAGAAAGTACCATTCCCCATCGAAATAGCATTTTGACTAGTAGAAAAAAACAATAAAATGCAGACTAATTACAAAGTTGATGAGAATCTCATCTTGATCAACACCTTTAGTTACCGATACTGCGATGATCTACCTTGTACTAATTAATTAGTTGATTGGTTATTGTGAAAAGATCTTCCACAGCTTCCTTCTGAACTCTATTGTCAAGTGATCAAGTATCAACTACTCTTTTCCACTGCAACCTCCAGTGCCACTTTCAACCTCCTCCATTCCCACTGCAGCCTCCAGATCCAGAGCCATCAACTTATTATCATCAGCTTTATGGTCTTCCAAGCTGCTCTGTTCACTCTTGCTGGAGCTTGCCAAAATATCTTCATCTGATGGGGAGGAATAATTACCGTCTTTACTTGGGCGCTTAAAATGATGAGCAGTTGGCATGACGAAAGATGGCACTGCAGCATTCGGGACTTGCCTAATCCTTAACCGTTCTCGGTAACCCTCCAGCTCCATTTTGTACCGTTCTTTGTCTTTCATAGCCCTTTCCTGATATATCTGGTTTCATCAAAATTTCAGTTCATGAGCCAATGGGGATCAAGAATTATTTGGATATCAATAAATACTAATGAAAGTTGTATTCTTTCTATTTGTTATAATTTGGAAAATGAATACGATTAACGTTTTTACATGCACATGCATTAGATCTCTAAGCCTTTCATCATGGAAACAAATAAAATGAGTTTGAAGAAATACAAAACCAACATCCAAGTCTTAATCCTAAAAGAATTTGAGGTTGACTAACATGAATGGACATATGAAATCGGAGCAACAAAAGAATACAAAGAGATCAATCCTCCACGCATATATTCTCCTTCCACTTTGCTCTCTCCAAAGTCATACTCCCATCTAACCCAAGAAGTACCATATCACTCTTGGCCACTTTAATGCATGTTTGTTTGGACTAATATTTTATTGTATTTCTTACCAATTTTTCTTTCATTTCAGTGTCTATCAGTAGTTTCATCCTTATTCTTTCCCTGGTATTTTCTGAGTTACATACAAAGTTGAGGGGTCCATTTGGAACTCAGGAAATGCTAGGGCAAGAAAATACAGGGTATTTTAAAGAGAAAATATATTTCCAGGGCGGGGATGCTTCAAACTCAATAAATCAATATTAGATATATCATCAGATCTCGTTTTATTATGACATTATACTGGTCATTATCCTTTGCACTTCCAATGCAAAACCAAACATAAGAGATATACCATTCCTAGACAATTTTTATCAATTCCTACAATTTCTGTGTTCCAAACATACCCAAAAAAGAACAGAGAAAAGAAAAAAGGAGGAAAAAGGAACAAAAGTTAAGAACAGATTGCGGTTTATACCATCCTTTCAGAATCATTCAATTTGTTCCACGACTCCCCGATAATCCTACTGATCTCCCTATCCTTCCCCTGAAAGAGTGGTTTCAGTTTTGCGTGCTGTTCTTGAAAGAAAAAGTTATAACCACTTCTATTAGGCTTTGGACGGTCAGGATCTCTCCTTTTGATTTCACATTTCTTCCTACGCTTTCTCTTAACCACTCCTGATGTGTAATTATCACTGCTATTTGCAGGGACAACTTGCATTTGGGACACGGTTTGGTTCTGTTGGACTGTCTGGTCTACAGGGGCATATAGGACGCCTTTGAACTCTTCTGATCCGATTTTTACAGTTATAAGATACCCACTATCAAACTTCCCATCAATAACACCATACACCTCTGACCCTGCAGGAGTTCCAACAGTTTCTGCACATACAAATAGTACAACTCAAGGCAATGTTTGTGCGACAATGATTTTTTCAAAATAGCAGTGCAAAGCGGCCCTATTACCAGATTTATAGAATTCAGCAGACTTGATCAAAACTCTTTTTTTTACCGAACAATCTCACTTCTATTTTTTAAAAAATGTTTACCATTAAGCAATTTCTCAATAATCACTTAAATGAACTACTTCTGACAAGCAAACTAACCAGAATAAGTAGCTTGACTTACTTATTTGGCTGAAACAAATGTCACTGACACTTTCCTTTTAAAAAATTCAGGAGACTCAACTCCTTCGACCATATAACCATATTAAACATTTAAACAGGCCCTAAGGATTCATGTGGTAGCCAGTTCTAGCTTATAGCAAATTACATACTAGTAGTAAGTGACTTCTGACTTATTCAGCTTAGTTGGAGATTATTACTAATTGCTTTTTCTTTGAAAAAAATATTAACAGATTTTGCCATTTCAGCCAAATAGTTCTGAAGAGCGGGTTTAATTGTCTACAGCTAGCTAACACTATAAACGAATCATGCAAGACGCAATGTTTTGCATCTGGCCATGAAATAATGAAGATTAGAAAAGAAATTAAAATAAAATCAATCAAATAAAATATTTTGTATGTAGTAGCATGTTTTGCCTGCTTTAGTTCTTATTTAGTAGAAAAAGAGAGTGAAAAATGTGTACCCGCTGCTACTTTTTCTGTTTGTGGAAGTGGCACGTGGGCTTGAATGTAAGGCACCTTTACTGTTTCAGGCAGCCGACTAGGTGGAGCTGTAATCATGGACACATTGTGCAAAGTGTCTGCAGATGATCAATCACATTTTCAGTTAAACAAAAAGACTCCCATATAAAACAAGGGAAAGCTTTGGATATTTTTCACAAACCAGCAGATGGAGATGGGGTCCAACATTTAGCATTAAAAAAGTAGATCCGCTCATAGTGTTGAAGCAATGAAGTATAATATTTCCGCAGAATGAAAGAAGCATTTGTAGCCGAAGATGGAAAACTAAAACTCATAGTTACTTCTTTCCATCTTTTCTCTCCAACCACCTGAAATTCCCAGCTCATGTAAAAAATTATTTACTCTTAAAATAGTTTTAAAAAACAGTCATTAGAAGCAACTCCAAGTTAGATAAACATGATATGTATAGTTTAATCCATGTCCACATGGTTTCTGTTAGCACCTTGAGACACAATTGGTGACATCATAAACGAACCTCGAGTGTATAAGGCGTGAACAAAAAAGCATGGAAAACTATACTTTCAAGTCTAGCAAATTACAACTATATACTCCGTATTAAATACAAATTATTATCAATTTAAGAACATGTCATTGCATAGATACTACCTTTGTCCGTACTAAGAGTCATGTTCGACAAACTGTTATATGTCATCATTTGTTCATATATATACTCTTACAGTTATCATATTTAACTTGTTATGATCCCTTTTTATTGGAAAATGTACATAAAAATTGCTTTGTGCATTGAAATTTGAAACATGAGTACATGAATCTTTTTAAACTGTTGGAGGGAAAAAAAGGATGAACATTGGTTATGACATATATACCATATGCAACGTTTGGTTCCTAGCAATTCCTTATGCTGATGAAATATATGTTAGTTTGAGCCATAGAAAAGGAAATGGATTCATTTCCATTAGTCCCAAAGCAGGGATCCTGAAAGTTGCATTCGAAGCATAATAAAAACAAATCACTTTTACCTTTGAAAAGCCACCCCTAGAAGTAACTTCCACAAAGAGACGGTGTAAATCAAGGTATTTCCCACCAATAACAGGGATCCTGAAGAATCATAGTAGCTTTGCAAATAAAGATTATTGAATAGAAAAACTGCAGAGGAAAGTCATTACAATTTAGAAAAGAGATATTTATCATTTTAAAACCATTCCCATAATAATGTGAGAAGCAAGCTTGAGCATGGCTGGGCATCAGGAACAATCATAAAGCTGATACTTATGTGCTCCAGAGAGCAAAGAAAAACAATGCTCTTTGTAATTTTTTTCTAGTCATCCAAATAGAGCTTAAATGCAAGTACCTAAACTCACACACTGCAAAGCAGTCCGTTCATCTTTTTTAGGAATTGTACTTTCACCCCATTCAACCCAAAAAGAACTTGTTATGGTACACATTGGCTTAATTTTCATGCCTATAATTTCTATTGCAGCAAAGCTTAAGTGTGGATGAATATGACTGGTTTGGTAAGACTGTAAAAGTCATTTTATTAAAATGGCTGGAATTTACAAAATTTTCAGAAAGGAAAGGCCTTTTGGTAAAATTCATCTCACTATTTCAGCCAAAAGTAAGTCAAAAGCTACAAAACAAACCTATAAAAGAGAATACATTTGCCATTCTGGTTTAAGTGGAGCAAAATAATAGTACTACCTCCATCCCCAAATGATGGTCATGCAGGGGAGGACCGTAGTAGAGACCCATTAATAAATTTATTTAGTGTATATATATACGAAAAATGATTTTTGTTCTTACAAAAAGTATTTTGAACCCCCAAAAAATATTTTCGCCCCTCCAAAATGACTTTCCTGGTCCGCCCTTGTGGTCATGTTTCCCTTTTCTGAAAGAAAGATGTGGTTCATATCATTTCACTTTATTATACTCAAATCTCAACCTCAACTTTTACCTTCTCGATCACTTTATTAAAACTTGTGCCTAAAAGAAATGAGACCATCAAATTGGGATGGAAATTGGGATGGAGGGAGTAATAATTAAAAGAAATTACATCTATCTAAAATGTAAAAGTTGGGAAGCAAGAAAGATGAAGGAACATACATGAACTTGGTACCAAGAGAGGCATGGAGCATCTGGAGTGTATCCATGAAGAGTTGGGGTGAGGCTATAACATCCTGATATGTAGCCATAGGAGGTGGGTATGGATAATAGCATCTTGAGGGATGCAGTTCCCTAAGTGGCATTGGGCTATCGTTATTACTGTTATTGTTGTTTTGAGGTGTAGAAGATGATGTTTCCATTTCACGTGCGACTTTTATCAAACACCTCCTACAACCAACATATATGTATAAACATGCAACTAGCTACTCAAAGATGGTTCCTTTTTCCCCTGAAAAGAAGCCAAAATCAAGCCAAATGTCATGCTTATGGGGCACAATATTTAATTTTAGAAATAAAAAAGACCAGAAGAAAAATGCTGAAGAAAATTTCGTCCTGGAAGGCTACAAACGGACAGAAGAGAGATATCATTATGATAATTACGGAGTATTATTATTAATGTGAAGAATCGAGAAGAGGTTCATAACAAGTAACAACCACCTCATTAGGTGAAGTAACTCCCTGAACCCCAACAGAAGCATAGGGTACAATATAGCTTAGCTGTCTCTCACACTTCCCTACGAAAATTTCCTTTTTGTTTAAACCAAGACAAGAATCTAATTTATTTGTCCTCTCCCACTCGTAGTATAGGACAAGTTATAAAATGTTTTTCTATTGTCTAGCTTCTTAAAAGATTACTAAAATTGACTTTTCTTGATCAAAGTTGATCAAGTTTGACCAACAATTTCTTTTAATACAAAATTGTTAAAATATGAAAAGTATATCAGCATATTCTTTATTAAAAAGTCTTTCATAAAGGTATAAAATGTATACTCCCTCCATTTCTAAAAGAAACTCACACTTTCCTTTTTGAGATGTTTCAAAAACAAAGTCACACTTCCTTTATTTCCTTATTTGGCAAAGAAATCTACATCCAAACAGTGTCAAACAGTGTGAAACAGTGCCAAACAGTGTCTAAACAGTGTTTTCTACAGTAAAGTCAATTTATTTCCTTAATAATCGTGAAGTCAAACCGTGACTTTCTTTTGGAGACGGAATTATTTGGAAAATGATTTTATTATTTTTTTAACTTTTAGTTTAAAATAGTTAAAATTTGAAAAAAAATATTAGTTAATAAAATTAATGGTTATTTTTTCAATTATACAGAGTATTTAACATTTTAAACATTTTAGTTGAACTCGAAAGTTCAACTAAAATGTTTTCAATTGTAAACTAATTCATGTCAATCCTCAAGGCTAGAAAGAAAATATTAGTAGTTAAATAAGATCATTTTAAAAATTTAAAATATTAGCAGTATTTAACATTTTAAACATTTTAGTTGAACTTGAAAGTTCAACTAAGGACGTTTCAACGAATTAGAATCCTTCTCGCTCAAAGAGGCAGCCCTTTTGAGAGTCAGCCGTCACAATAAATCGTAGCAGGTAATCACCTTTTCCGATCGATGGCCAAAAAGTGATGATAATTGGCAACCGTTATTAACATCTTCTGTGAAAGGCAATTTGACATCCTCTTGGAGATTCTGGGTAGGGTTATGACCTAACTTGACTACTCTTCTTTGGTTATTGTGTTAGTTATGTTCTATGGTGGTTTTTTCTTGGGCATTGTCGCTCTGGTGTGTTTTGTCTCCCTCGGTGTGGGGAGTCGCTTTGGTGTCACGACCAGCTTCGCCTGATCAAAGATATGTATCTGCCTTCTTTTGGGCTACGCAAAGAATTAGAAAGACGTAAAGATTATTTTTGACTCAACATGTTTCTACGTCTATCTGGAATGAAGTAATAAGAAGAATTTAGTATTCACATATGTTGCAGCAGCACGTGCTCCTTTGGAACCACCTCGGACGATTGCTTCGAGCTTTAATTTGTCCCTTTAGTTTCTATCGAGTCGGGTTATTTTGTATGAGGTAGTTGACTCTATGTTTATTCTTGGATTCACGATCGGATCATTTATAACTATCTGGAGGATGTCTTGTATGTTTTCTCGATATTATTGTAAAAGCCGCTCTTTTATATTAAGAAGATAGTAATGGCACCCTCTCCCACTTGTGGTACTTACAAATTACATATTAATAATTTTAAAAATTTACATGAATATAATCATGAATGAACGTCAATATTAAATAATTTAAGACAAAAGATGCAATTTAGTTAATAAAAAGTATTTGCCATAAAGATAGAAAAAATTGGCGAAGGGACAGAGTTTAGTAAAGATCATTTTGATGAAAATTATTGAAGTGAAATGATTGAATGTGATGAATTTTGTGAAGTACAGTAATTTTGATTGAATACATAATGTAGTTCAATCATACGTAGTATTCCCTCCGTTCCGTTGGAATGTTCCCGCTTTCCTTTTCTGGATGTCTCGTTGGAAAGTTCATATTTCCCTAAATGGAAAGTTATCCTACATCAAAACAGGGTCAAACAGTGCAAAACAGTGTCAAAATAGTAAAATTTATCTCCTGGTAAGTTTATTTCCTTAATATGCGCGTATGTCAAACCAGGAACATTCCAACGGGACGGAGGGAGTATAACATAGTAATTGAGTTAACAGAAAAGTTCCTTATAGCCTTGAGGATTGACATCAATTAGTTTACATGAAGTTAATCATTATACTTTTTGGAGAAAGATTTTCAAATATGTTTACATTTGATCGACTAGTTTAAAGAAATTTTGTCACCTCTAAATTTAACTCTACTTGTATTCTTTTGTTTAATGTAAATAACTTAATTATAACACTACTTTTATTCTAATCACAACATTTTCAACTACACAGTAATATTCACCAAAGACTAATATAGGTGACCAATTTATCAATTCTAGATTATAGCTGACTCACACAACCTTAACAGCTTTTGACGAGCTTATATATATGAGCTTGCTTTAAGAATCAAAGCCTTATTAATAGTATGTTACTCCCTCCGGTTCCAAAAGATCTTGACACTTTGACTTCACAGTTTTTAAGGAAATAAATTTGACTTTACCGTAAAGTACACTGTTTGACACTGTTTGACACTATTTTGTGTAGATTTATTTGCCAAATAAGGCAAATAAGGAAGTGTAAAGATAATTGTGGTACTGATAAAAATGTAAAGATCTTTCAGAACCGGATGGAGTATTACACACTATGTACAATAAACTACATCACCACCCTACCTTCACTTTTTTACTTGCACATCACTTTGACTATTTTTAATACTCAATTTCATAATACAGATATCAAAGACAAACATTGCCGCAAATTTTAGAAATATTAACAGAACTTATTTTTATATATTGATATAAAAATTGTGACCAATGTACCATATGTGAATAATACATGTAAAGGATTGCAACCAAAACAACACAAAAATGTAACTCTTACAGCTATTTACATACTTTCAACACACATATACTACGCACTCATGAACTTTATCTTATAAAGATCATTTTTGTTGTATTTTGATTGTTGATGCGTTTAGTTCCCCGCTTAATTTAGTGTCTTCCAAAACACAATGTAATTTTAATTTGTCTCTAATCTTGAAATGTTTAAAAGACAATCCATCGTTATTCACATTTTAGAGGATTACCGTCATAGTTGTTCATTGTCATTGAAGAAGATGTCAATCAATTATACATTTGTTACCACCACTAATGAAGATTGAAGATACTTAATTGTCAGGGTTGCAAAGGGCGGCTGAAAATGAAATGATCCTTGATGAAATTGTTATTTCCATCATTTTCAATGGAGTCAAAACTCACTATTTTTTAGTTTGGGAATATGATGGAATAAAACAAAGTGACTCATTAGTACAGGGGTAAATCTGCGTACATCTACCCCTTACCCCACCGTAGGTGGGCCCCTTTGCGGCATTGAGGTAATGATGATGATGTTGTATTTTTTGTTAAATTACTAAAAGAAAAATATAACTCGGTAATAAATAAAACACAAATCAATAAAAATGTTGACTGACATAGTTCAATTTTTTACGTTGTGTAAAAGAGATAGGATGACTTTCAATTTATTAATACTATATATATTTAAGGGGCAATACTCTCTAGTAATGAGTCTCTCTACAAATACCAACTGCAGAACACACAGAACATACACTTTAAAAAATGCTACAATGGATGCAACAAACGCTTGACAAAGAGGTACTCAACTTCTTATTACTCTAGCTCAAACATGTTTACTTTTAGAGTGCTAATACAATCAGGTGCACTGGTGCTGATCTGATTGAATTCGCGCAAGAACACACACTTTATCGCTTTGATTATATTTGAATGGAAGAACTATCAAATAAACTCTCGAACTTTCATAAAAAGTGCAAATAAGCCCTTTTATAGGAGGCTCTGTCTGGCCGTCCCCATTTGGGGCGGTTTCCGATGGATTTTTTTGATGAAATTTTTTGAGTATCTTCTTCATTAAGTCTAGTTTATTCATACCAAATTTCAGCTAAAACTTCAATCGGGAAGGCAGTCAAATGAATTGTTGAAGATAACTGCGCAGTTAGACAGCGCAATATATTTCAACATATTAAAGTTTAAGTAAAGTATTTTCTATTAAGTTGTCCCACACTGGTTGCGTATAGAAATACAAATCAACATATTCAAGGGAACTACTCCTCTTAACAAATTGACCTTTTAGGATGGAACCTCAAGAATCACACTCATGAAGTAAGAGAAAATATTACTCCCTCCGTCCCATATTTAACTCCGGTTTTGACCGGGCGCGAGTTTTAAGATAGTGATATTTGTGTGGTGGAGAGTTATGCAGAGGAGAGAGAAATGTGTAAGAATGGTTGTGAACCGCATATTCTTTACCAAAAAGGAAAAAAGAAGATAAATTTGAGACGGACCGAAAAAGAAAGAATGAAGATAATTCCGGGACAGATGGAGTACCTAAACTACAGGCTAGGGCTAAAGGTGAAAGTAATCCTATTCTAGTTTATATTTTAAGTTCTTGCAAACATGGTGTGGGGTTTATTGATTTTAAAAAATAAGAAAGTCGGCCATTTTTTTCATTTTTTTTACTCCATGGGGCATCTCGGAGAGAGCATTGAGGGGGGCTGGGGGACTGAAGTAATCATGACGGAAACTCACTTCATTGAGTTTCGAATTCGAGATCTCCCGTAAGGGAGGGTGAGGATGTTTTTACTTGGACTGTAATTCGTCTCAGACCAGACCAGACCAGACAAGACCAGTTCAGACCAGACCAGATCAGTTCAGACCAGATCAGATCAGACCAGACCAGCAAATTACAGTCCAAGTAAAAACATCCTGAGTCGACAACCAGCTGGGCTGGACCGCTTCCTCAAGTCGGCCATTTTTTCATGTTTTCATCAGGCTTAACCCACAGAAAACATGTCAAACGATGAATTATTACACCAAACCAAACGTTTTCCTTTTCCTTAATCAAAACCTCTTTATTATACGTCCCTTCGGGTAGCC